CTTCATCGGCACCGAGCTCTCTCTCTTTCTGATCTGTCGCCGCTGCACAACTACTGGGCATCCCGCTCTCCCGAAGGTGGAGCCAACCCAGTTACAACTAGGCTATATGTACTGTCTATCGATCGGGCTAACAAGGAACCTCTAGTGCAATGTTCGTCATACCAGCTGTACGGGATCCTACAGGGCATCTTCGCCATCTCGGCGGACGTGCTGATGCTGGCCATCGCGATCCCCCTCTTCCTCAGTCTACGACTGCCGAAGAAGCAAAAGCTCATCCTGCTGTTCGTCTTCGGGATGGGCATCTTCGTGGTGATCGCGGCGGTGCTGACCAAGCTCTACTGCCTGGTCCCCTGGCTGATATCCTACGTCTACATGAACTGGTACCTGCGCGAGGCCACCGTGGGCATCCTGGTGACCTGTCTGCCCATGACCTGGTCCTTACTTCGAGACCTTTTCCCCATGCTCACCAAGTGGGCATCTGCCACCTCTGGCCTGTCCGGGACTACCACCTCGTCTGGGACCACTCGGTATGGATACGGCGGCAGTCGTAGTTACGGCCGCAACCCGCGAAGTAACAACTCGAACAAGACGGCCTCCTGCCGCCTGCCGTCGTGGTGCTCCTCTTTCCACCAGCACAAGGACCACATGCAGCTGGACGACTTTAACCAGTGGCGCTCCGGCCTGCAGCACCTCCCCACCATCGACGACAGCCCCAAGGACGATGCACAGCCCCGGGTGCCCGTCTGAGGCTGTTCCTCCTGTTTCTCTTGTACCAATATAGATACCCAAGGTCGGCGTTTGGCTCGTATTGTTATATGGTGTCTCTGGGGTCTTCTCTCTACTTATACATAGTGGTGTTCTTTTTCCTTGTTTTGTTATATATATATAGCCAGCGTGACGACAGAATGATGATCTCTATTTAAACATACATCATGTACGCTCGAGAGCTACCCTTGTAGTATTAAGTAATAGGCCCAAGTCGTCTTCCCTGTCGCTTAAAAAAAGTCTTCGCCCAAGACATGCCGAACCGCCTTACGACTTCTTGCCTCGGCCCAACAAATCCCCAACAAACGCCCAACAAAACAGGGACACGAAGGCCCACAGATGCAGGGAAAGTCAAGGAAGCTACTATGTAAGGGGGATGCTGGGGGAAGGCGAGGGGGGGGAATAAAAGAGAGGGATGAAGCGCGAAGGATGAGCAAGTGAGGATGCCAGAGCAGTGATACCAGAGGCAGCGATAGAGACGGTGAGGATATCGCAGACACAGAGAATACCATAGGCAGGACAGGAGATACCCATAGGAGACTCTTAGAGTATCCCCAACAAAGACTTGCTCTTCCTTACGTCCTTTCTCTTACTAAACTTGCCTCCTCTTATACAGCAACGTTTTTGCCTCTTCTCCTGCTCTTTTATCTATTGACTCGATCTCTCATCTGGTACTCTCTTATCTGCTGTCCTATCTTCTGCTTGCTCCTACTGCGTACTCCCGGAAAGGACTGCAAAGATGGCCCTCCACCTTGGCCTCCCGCCCTCCGCCCTCTTCAGCTTTCCGCCTGACCCCCGCCCCGCCGTCCTCCCGCCCGCCGCCGAGCCTCTCTCATGGCACCGCCCCTTCAACGTTCCGCCGGCACTCTACTCCCGCCTGCTGGATGCTCGCGTCCCCCTCGCCATCGCGGGCTCCTATGCACTCGTCGTCTGTCTGTTGAACCGCCTCAACCGCAACAGCGGGTACCGGCCATGGAGCATCAGCAAGACACGTCCCTTTAAGGCGTTTGTCGTCCTGCACAACGTCTTTCTCGCCCTCTACTCTCTCTGGACCTTTCTGGGCATGGTCCGCGCCTTTCGTCTCTCGTGGCCGGACCCGTCTGTTGCTTCTGCTTCTGCTTCTGCTGCCGGCAGCGTTGGTGGCAGTCAGCTGGCCGCGGTGGTGGACTGCCTGTGCAAGATCAACGGCCCCCGCGGGCTGGG